TAGATTTTGGCCGTAAAGGGCTGCTGTATTTTTGAATGAAACGTAGGGGGTAGCCACTCTTCGTCTCAAGTTTAAAGTTGACATAACTATTGACCATTTGCCACGTTAACACGACCTTGCTATTACCAATATTGTGAAAATTCAAAATGATGTGTTCTCTAAGTGTTCGTTATTCATGCACAGGGCGGACGCAGTTGAAATTTATTTGCGCAAATAAATTCTGCTGCTTTGGTTGCTTCAAAAATATCTTCAAATGATTGAATTTGACAACAAGCGTAACTGTTAGTTCCTTTCATTAACTTCCATCATCAGTTGGCACGAGCTTACGACAAAACCACTCCTTCGTGTATAAAAGAAATAAGTCGGAACCCTCACTGGATTAAAAGGGTGTCTATGTGTGACTTGAAAGGGACAATGACATCTCAGATTGGGAAGTCCAGCTTTTAACAATTTCAGTTCTCAGTCACTCAGACTGTTTTGCCGATCATAATTTTCGTATATGACTTTCCTCCTCTTTGGTTCACGTCCTCGTTTTGAGTTGCCGTTCAAACATTCATTCTCAGCCAGGTCCATGAGAAAGCAAATTATAACTCACTTAGTTGTGAGAAAAGCATGAATGGATATATTTTGCTTACAGACATTTTTAAATCATGGTTTTTTGCCGAATTGAATTTTATTTTCTCCTACCATCTTTCTTTTTTGTTAGTTTCTTGGGTACCCTGAAGCTGTCAGAAGAACATTGAATCTCATTGAGCAGGCCCTAAATAAGGCTAACCTTCCGACAGATACAAAACTGGCTGCGGTGGTAAGTGCACTTATTCACAAAATAGCAAATATTGCCAGAAACCAGCTACAATAGCACCATCTAAGAATTAATGCGAGTTCGCCCTTCATACATAACAGTTTTATTTTATTTTTTAATATCTTTTGCTCTTTATTCTATACATGGTATACTTTGTTTCGCATTTTTATGGAAACATAAGCGTTAGCACTGTTTGTGCACTGATTGCTGTTTTTTTCTCCCTCTTCGCTATCTTCAGGGCTTAGCCCTTAGTGGAGTGGACTCAGAAGAAAATTGTCGCGATTTTGAAGAGAATTTTATGAAATCTGGCCAAATTGTGACCGAGAATGTCTTAGCTCGTAACGACACCTTCGGCACGCTCTATGCCGCAACCGATAAAGGTGTGTCCTTATTACATACTGTTTCTTTATAACGTGTGCTGCACCCGTTTCTGTTTGACTTTATGGCGCCTTATTGTATAAACAATTTGTAGACGTTTATATATGAATTGTCTAGTCAGTTTCATCCTGACACGCGCCTTAAATTTGGTTGATTCTCGTTGACAGTTCCTGCAAGCTGTCTTCCGACGACTGACCGCGTGTT